AAAAACCAAAAAAAAAAAAAAAAAAAAAAAAAGTGATCATCCTTGGGAATTTATTACTTTTGTTGTTTGTATTTGTGTAGTATACCTACTTGTTGTGAGGATCAATGTGTGCAGATATGCATACATGAATGTGCATTTGCATGTGAACACCAGAGGTAGGTGTGGGGTGTCTGCTTCAGCTATTCTCTGTGTTTTAAGGCATAAGCCTAACCTCAAACTCATAGCTAAGCTGGTTGGCCAGTGAATGAGTTCCAGGGATTTTCCTGCCTCCACCTTTTCATCACTGGGATTACAAGTGCATGTAGCCACTCCTGACCCTTTGTATGGGTTACTGGGGATCTGAACTTAGGTCCTCATGCTCACAGTATGCACTTTACCCACTGAACCATCTCCTTAGACCCAGCATATTATTTTAAAGGTATAATTGATAGAATTTGTTAATGGAGTCATTGTGGAATTTGAGAAAAAGATACATTAGGAATGGCTAAACATTTTGGATTCAGTAACCAGAAAATTGGAATTAAGTAACAGATTGGAAAATTGCTGGATAGCTAGTTGCGTAGTCAATGAGAGAGAAGCAAAATCTGGGTAACAGGTAATATAATTAGAAATTAAGAGCATATTGGTGATTTATGAAATCATCTGTAAATTCCTGTTGATAGAAAATGAAGTCATGAAAAGGAAGATTGATTGATGAAAATGTATATGCTAAGCTTTCTACTAGGAAAAAATGTAACAGAAGTCAAAAGGTTAAGTAATTTTTACTTACAGAATATTGAGATTTAATGACATTATTTGATTTTGGAGATCAAAATCTGCAGGTCTTGGGATAATGTTAGACATTGGACAGTGCCAAGAGCTTGACCCTGTCCTCAGGCACCTCTTCGTGTGTGAGGTTGGCACAGACAATGAGTTGAATAGCACAAACATCATCATGTGGATTTAGTCTTGGCCTATGGCTTGTGGTAGTAGTACCCCTTTATTCTGTAGTTTTAGAACACACAACCTTGAGCAGAATCTTACATTGATAGGCATAATAAAAAGTGAGATTGCTGTTTTCTGGTGGACTTCTTTGCATGTTTGTTCACTGTATTGGTGTTGTCATACATTGCTCTAGTATTTAAAAAAGAAATACAAGATAGTTTTGATTGTTTACAGAATATTTTTGTATTTTTTTAAACAGTCTTAAGAGTCTAGGATGTATTTATTAAACCACTGGATCCTTTTAGGGATTACTTTTAATCTTTGGTATGATCTGAACAAAATTTGTAATTCATTTCTTATTTTTTGAGGTAATACTTTCTGAGTATTGTGCTTGATTTTTATACATTGTAAGTTTTTGGTTTTTCGAGACAGGATTTTTCTATGTAGCTTTGCAAGCCTTTGCTGGAACTCACTCTGTAACCCAGGTTGGCCTTGAACTCACAGAGATCTTCCTGGCTCTGCCTCCTGAGTGCTGGGATTAAAGGCGAGTGTCACCACTACCCGGTGTTGTAAGTTTTTGTAATCAGGTTGAGGGAAATGTGGAGTGTTGTGGCTGTGTGTGAGGTGGGGAAGTATGCCACCTGCTTGATTTCTCTAGCAGTTTCCTTACTCTCATTCAGTGGTTAGTACTCAGCTAAAGCCTTGGGAGCTATCCAATGGTGCTTTGCAGATTTCCATATTTCTTTCTGTAGCTGTCTTCTTTCTGGTACTCTTATCTTGAAAATTTTAGCCAACTTAACTTCTCCAGATTCTGTCTCCTCAATTCAGAGAGATTTTTGGGCTTTTTTGTGTATCTCCTTCATGTGTTGCTTCCTAGAAATAGGTAGTTAACTGGAGCAATCTTAGTGCTTATTCTCTAAGTTTCCCTTCAGTTGAATGTCTGTTGCTTTACCTATTTTCCCTGGTTTTATTTTAAATGGGGTCCAGCTATGTTGCCCAGCCTGGCCTTAAACTCATGAAGGTAAGTGATCCTACCACCATATCTGGCTGATGGTTGGTTGGTTTTAAAGACACAAAAGTAAATCTGGTTAGTTTTCTCATCATCTTGAGGAACAAAAATCTGATATTTTTTATATTTGAGTTCATGTTTCTATTATCAGATATTGATGTTTGACTGACTCACACATTTGTTAAACATAGTAGAAACATACCAAGTTTTTTTTTTTTGTTTTGTTTTTTGGGTTGTTTTGTGTGTGTGTGTGTGTGTGTGTGTGTGTGTGTGTGTGTGTGTGTGTTTTATTATGCTTTATGAAGAAAAGTTGTAATGCTGGATATAGTGGTGCATGCCTATAAAATTTCAAATTCTTGGGAAGTGAAGCCAGGATGATGGGAGTTCAAGGCCAGCCATGAGGCCCTGCTTAAAATAAAATAAAAAATAAAAAGCAAGAAAAGGTTGAGAAATGAAATTACTAAAGAATAAGAGTAGGTGGTATTTGCTGAGATTTGTTGTATACTTAACATTTTTTGTTGTTGTTTTGTTTTTTGAGACAGGGTTTATCTGTATAGCTTTGGACCCTGTCCTGGAACTTGCTCTGTAGACCGGGCTGGCCTCGAACTCACAGGGATCTGCCTGCCTCTGCCTCCTAAGTGCTATGATTAAAGGCACTAAACATTTTTTAAGTGGTTTATATATTGGTTGAGGACAGATAACACAAAGTGGTAGTTGTTTCTCTGTTTAGTCTCTAACCCACCTATAAATTTACTGGAAATAGAAGTTTGGTATTAGCAACTTTGGAATACAGAAGTCAGTTTTTAATTGCTACAGTTCTCTTTGGTTTGCATTGAGAAATCTTTGTTTGTTTTGTTTTATTTTTTGAGAGTTTCTTTGTATATCTCTGGCTGTCCTGCTAGGATATTACAAGCATATCTACTTTGTCTGTTCTTAATATAGCTAGAGACAAGAGAAAGTTATAAAGGGATACGTAAAAAGAGTATAATTATCCTCGTTTACAGATGACATGATCCTATTTTTTAACTGTTATTTGTGTATGTGATGCATGTATTCCATGGCACATATAGTTAAAACAAAATAAAGAACATGCAATACAGGCTACCTGTAGCCCGCTAAAGCCAAGATACTATGTATCCCTTTACAGAACAAGCTTAGACACCGCTCCCCCCCCCATACCCTAATGCATTCAAGGATCAGTTCCTAAATAATATATACTTCCTATGGACATTTTATAACCATGATATATACATTTAAGTCAATAAATTCATAAATACTGCCATCTGACTCATAACCTTAATTCATATTTAACTACTGTCCTAGTAAGGTCTTATAGCACAAAGATCTAATCCAGTATAACCCAGAAAGCAAAGGAAATGAAAACAAAAATAGATAAGTAGGATTATATTAAATGAAAAAGCTTCTGACTGGGTGGTGGTGGTGGTATACGCCTTTAAACCCAGAACTCCAGAGACAGAGGCAGGTGGGTCTCTGTGAGTGTGAGGCCTGTCCTACAAAGCGAATTTCAGGATAGTCACAGCTGTTACACAGAGAAACCCTGTCTCGAAACCCATACCCGCCCCCCCCCCAAAAAAAACTTCTGTATAGCCCAGAAAACAATTCAATTTCAATTATAAGAGCAATTGTATTATAATAATAAGAGAGTGATATAAAAAATACACAAGAGGAACTGGAATGATGACTCAGAGTTTAAGAGCACTCACTTCTCTTTCAAAGGACCTGGGTTCAACTCCCAGCACCCATGTGACAGCTAATATCCATTTGTAACTCCAGTTTCAGGGGATCCAGTGCCTTCTTCTGGCCTCTGTGGGGCCAGGTATGCATATGGTACATACCAATACATATAAATTTAAAATTTTAATTAAAAATATATATACACAAGGAACTCAAACTACCCTGTAACAATAAAGTAACCCAGTTATATATAGAGGCAATCTTCTTGAAGTATGGCAGAATTGTGGTTACTATGTTCATAAGGCCTTTGACTTTATCTAATATGTTAATGAGAGAAATAATTGGCCTAATGGCACAGAAAATAATGGTAGAATGATTGCTAGGCAGGGTTTCAATATTATGTTTATGAAGAGCCAAAAGAGAATCAAGGAAATGATCTGCAGTGGAGATTTACAGCTCCCCATTTGTCTTGGACTATGACTCTCAGTGTGTGACAGAATGTACAGTTACCCAGCCCAGTATCTCCTTTCCTTTTGCTCAGATAGTAGTGTCCTCTAAACACCCAGTGTGTACTGGGAAACACCATATGAAGGGCAAAAGTAGCTTAATTTCTAAATGAAGAGTTGAAAGTAGATGACCTGAGGCCATTAAGAAGCCAGACCCAGATAAAACTAATGCAAGGTCATCGTCAGTTACATAGCAAGTTTAATGTCAGGCTATATGAGAGAGACACCTTCCCACCCCCACCCCCCGCCACCAAAGTAGCATTATCATTTGAAAGGTTGGGGATTTAGCCCAGTTCCATGATAGAACAGTTGCTTGGTATATATATGGACTTATTTCACATATATACATGTATCAGAACATCACATTGCTCCCTAGGAATATACATAACATTAAAAATCTGTTCCATGATCATGTGTTAGATTTTTATCTCTGTATTCTCTTATCTGGAGCAACGTTGCTTTCTCAGTGTTTATGCCCTTGACAGTTTAGAAACTACAACCAAGCTAGGTGGTAGAGCATGCCTTTAATCCCAGCACTTGGCAACAGAGGCAGGTGGATCTCTGTGTGTTCGAAGCTACCTTGGTCTAAAGAGTGAGTTCCAGGACAGTCAGAGCTACACAGAGAAACCCTGTCTTAAAACAAAACAAAACAAAACAACCACCACAAACAGTTATTTAATAGAACATTCATCTATTCATGCTTGTCTGATACTTCATTAGAATTAGATTCAAGTAGGAATGTTATCCACTCAGTTGACATAGGCTTCTTTTTTATACCATTATGATGAAGTTAACC